TCAAGTTGCAACTTTACGACGAGTTACCAACCGACCCCGGCCGAAACTCCGGTTCGCCGCATTGGCTCGATGGCGTTTTCTGGGCTCGGACGTGGAAGCTGACTTACCACTAGCCGAACTGGAAGACACGCGGTTGCCGTCCAAGGCCTGGCGTCGGCGTCGTGAACCGACGTCGGCTCGAAGCATATACTTCGGCGCCCTTCAACAGGACGGAGTGCCTCCGACGACGCCGCGCCGGGACAAGTCCTCGGCCGAAAGGAGTCAAGAGCCCAGTGCCGTCTGAATTACGGGATTAGCTCATACCCCGACAGCAGTCACCAGCCCGTTTATAGATTGGCCTTTCCGGGACGTCCCGGACGAGGAGGTCCGCGAAGACTGTGCCCGTCAAGTGAAAATAACGAATGGCGAGCCACCCGAGCCTTTGGTTGTGGGTCAGATCGCCGAAGATTCGACCGTTCCTCTCGTGAAGGTGGTTATCCAACACCGACAACTCTCAGCCGAGGTGGACGCCCTGGTGGACACCGGCGCCTCAGCCAGCGTATTCAACCCCGACATCGGGCATCTATTGGGAAGCCCTCCGTTGGTACAACCGAAGTACGGGCTGATCTCGGCGTCCAACACGAGTATGCCCACGAAGAGTCTCGCCAAGTTCGTGGTGTCTGTCGGGACGTGTCGTGCCCAAATTTCACTGTGGGTCATGGACGGGGCGGTGAGCCCTTGCATTTTGGGATACAACATGCTCCGCAAGCTCGGCGCCGTCGTGAACTGCACTCGAGCCTGTCTTCAATTCGGGAGCGGTGAGTTGGTACCCTTTGTTCGGCAAGACCGCTTGACCGAAGACACATGCTCGGTGGTGCATCTACACCAAGCCGACCGGGGTGCCGACGCTAAGGACACAGTCCCGGACTACGTTGATCTCGTATGGGAGGTCCCAGGTTCGACCCCCGACGACGACTCAAGGCACAGCGAAAGCGCCTACTCACTCCTCGTACATCATCGCGTCTGGTTGCGAGGATGCTCCCGGATGATGCTACAGTGCAGGGTCACCGGATCCCCGGAAGCGCTAATCGTGGTGCTGGCTGAACCATGCCCGACGACATTCCCACTGGTGATGGCACGTTCACTGAACGCAGTCCGGGACGGCCTCATTTGGGTCCAAGTTCGCAATACGGGACGGGACGGCATGTACCTTCGGGAAGGGGACGTGGTGGGCCTTGCAACTCCACTCCCGGAGCAGTTCATGGACAATCCCGGAGACACAACCAGTGCGTCGACGGATGCCGCTTGTCCATGCCGGTCGCCCGGGTGTGCGACCTGTTCGGGGGGGAAGGGGGTCGACGAACAAACGCCAACCCCGGTGTGCGGCGGTAAAAACCGGATCACCCGCACCGAAGGAAGAAATTCCAATCGACTGGACGGACTCCAGCTTGAGCGCCGAACAGAAGGAACTGCTACGAAAAGTACTGCTCAAGTTCGACCTTTTTGTGACAACCTCCAAGGCTCCCGGACGAACGGATCTAATCAAATGCCACATCAACACGGCCGGAGCCAGCCCGATCAAGCAAGCACCCTTCCGAGTGACCCAAAAGGAAGGCGAGATCATGGAAGCGGAGATCAAACAATACCTGGAGCTGGGACTGATACGGAAGTCTACGAGCCCATGGGCGAGTCCGGTACTCATGATCAGAAAACCGGACGGGTCGATCCGGTTTTGCATCGACTACCGAAAGCTCAACGACGTCACGGTCAAGGACTGCTACCCGATGCCGCGAGTGGATGACCTGCTAGACGTCCTGGGCAAGGCCAAGTACTTCTCTACGATGGACGTGGCGTCGGGCTACTGGAACGTACGAATGGACGAGGACAGCATTGAGAAGACGGCGTTCACGTGCAAGTTCGGCCTGTACGAGTGGCTCGTGATGCCGTTTGGGCTCTGCAACGCGGTGCCCCAGTTCGAACGACTGATGGAGGGTGTACTCCAGGAGTACATCTGGCGGATCTGCCTGGTGTACCTGGATGATGTCATCGTGTTCAGCGAAGACTTCGGGTCCCACTTGGTGCGCCTGCAACACGT